ATATATATTCAAAATGTTTATGTCCAAAGTTGATTGGACCTAGGGCATAACACTTACAATTTTAGCATCTATTTGATACCAATTCTTGCCAATTTGTAGACATTTTCCGACCGTTGCAACAGTACCCTTCTGACAGAACGTGTGCCCTAACTTTGAATAATTTTGTAAACATTCTTCATTCTACCCTCAATCAATCCTTACACACTCACTTGCCAAATTTCACAAAAGGGCATTATAGTAATTCGACAGAGAAGTTGATTAGCCAGGGAACAAAGTAACCAGAGCCCACTTGATTTGACAGAAAAATGCATTCTTGCAATAGATAATGCCTACCAAACGGAGGCTAAAATGGACTCAAAATTCTCTATCACCAGCTCATTTGTCATTGTCATTTTAATAACTCGCCTTTTTTTTTATCGAACTTGATCAATAATGGGGACACATAACTCAATTATGAAATAGAGATTCACATGGAATGCTTATGTCCATGTGATTTATGTTTCTGTCGGTGGATAAGATAAGAATCACAAGATGTAATTTTTTAAAAGAAAAAAATAAAGATTATGATCTTATTAATTACTAGATTATTTTAAGAACATGTTTTCAGTCACATTAACACGTGGCTTATCTAGAATTAGTGGAAAATATTTTCTTATAATAATATTCAATAGATTAATGAAAAAGTATAGTACGTGTTCAACATTATGCCATGGTCCACAAATAAATATGTGATTCCTTATAAATTGTCATTAATTAACAATATTTTAAATTGTAATGTTCGATTCTTCTTCGCACGTTTTTTACGATCGAGTGAGAAAATAATCTTACAAAATTAATTAGTGAGCGTCTACATAATTCGAGTAGCAAGTCTGATCAAATAAACTCGCAACTCTTGATAGCACTTAGTTAAAATGAACATTTTACGACACTTCTTTCTTGATCGTCAACGGTAAAATTCAAATACTAATCGAACCAATATTATCTTTGTTAACTTTGTTCCATGTATTAACTCTAAACTTACAGTGATAATTAGGGAATTTGGTGCAAATGGTACTTAACATTTGTCTTCAATGTGCAAATGCTCTCTAACCTTTATTTCTTGGCACGGACGTCCAAACTATGTGTTTTCGATGCACAAATGGTCCTTTTTTGTACAAGAAACGCTTATATTACCCTAACTTTAATTAGAAAAAGAATAATTCTTGTTGTACATAATTATTGTACATAGAGCATAACATGACACTCACATGTGGTGGACCCCACCAAAATGGTGGGCCCCACCCCATGTGAGTGTTATGTCATCCTCTATGTGAATAATTATGTACCCCAAGCAAGACNGTCTATTTCTCGCCGAGTAATTCTTGTTGTACATAATTATTGTACATAGAGCTTGACATAACACTCACATGTGGTGGACCCCACCAGAATGGTGGGCCCCACCCCATGTGAGTGTTATGTCATCCTCTATGTGAATAATTATGTACCCCAAGCAAGACCCTTAGAAAAAATTGCAGGTCGGTCCCTAACCTTGATAAAAGTACAAATAGTTCCTAAACCTTTATTTACTAATATTTAATGTAATCTAATAAAGATATCACTATAGTTGCCAATTAAAATTTCTAGAAGAAAAAAGGTGAAATTATTCTACTTTAAGTGTATGCAATTATTTATAATGTGAAAACTTGAATAAAACCCAGCGTTGATAATCAAATATTGTCACTTTCAAATTGATGTGAACAAATCGAGCTTAGGTAGCAAAATCACTTTCAAGAAATAAAAAATCATAGTTGGGCAGTTGACTATGACTTTATTCTCTGATCTCATGGGAATAATACGATTAAATTATAATCAAACGTGCTTAACACTAATGTATAACTATATCTAGAATGAATGATTATTTAGAGATTATCTTTCTTTAATATTATTTTATTTTGTAATCTCGATCTAAGGTATGATTTAAGGGGTTGCTCTGGCCCTAGGTTATATTAGCCGATCGATAAAAAAAAACAATAATAATAATAATAGTCCGCTTCTGCTATGTCCCTACAAAACTGTGTAATCCACGAAATATGTGGTTAATATTGATTATTTGACTTTGACTTAGATTTTAATCTGATTTTAATCCGAAATAAACATGGCATAATCTATCTAAATCAAACATGGATTAATGAATCATTCGTCGTACCAATTATTGAAATTTCTATCTAGCTCAAAATAATATTTATATTTGAATTAATTAATTAATTTAATTTTTAAAAATAATTGAATAGGAAAATTTTGGATGAATAATTAATATGGGCTCCACTTATTAAGCCTCGTGCATCTCATTTTGTAACTCAACATTATAATTTATATAAAAGGGCCCTAATGCCAGTTGTATTGAATTATATTGGTTCTTGTCCTTTTCATTCATTTTTATTCTTTACTCAGGTATGAGATATTTTTTTGAAATTCATTTTGTAACATGCGTTATCTAATAAAATAATTTTACACGTAAATTTACTTTCTATTTTTTTCAAATGGGGACATAATAACAAATGTTACTTTTTCAAAAGCATCTATCACCCACTCTCAAAATAAGTAACTTTTATTTCCAGCACGACTTGCTAGTTTATTTACTGGTAAACTTTTTGATTACGCTCTCCATCGTTCGGCTACAAAAGTTGGTAAAATGTTAAGTAAAAATCTACAATTAATTTTAGTTACACATTTTGTTGGACGTACAATTTTTATTAACTCGTATGTTATCAACTTTTAACAAAATATACTAAAAATCTAATATCTAACGTACCCAAGAGGGGCTATAGAATAGGAGTTATATTTAACGTGTAACTTATTTCAATTTTATCAAAAATGACTTGTTTACGTTTAAGCTTGCGAACATATTTAGAGTTTGTTTGGGAGAGATTTTTGGGGGAATAATTGATTTTGAATAGTGATATGATGGGAAATGTGTGGTTGAAAAAAAAAAGAAAAAAGTATTAATGTGACGGAAAATAATATTTTATTGAAGAATGTGTGGTTGAAAATGAGAATTGATTTACTGTAGAAAAATCTAATCCCTCCCAAACAGGGCCTTAATTGACATTTGGTAGTAATAAAATAATTTTATTCGTAAATTTAAATTTTTTCTTACTTTTTAACTACACTTCTTCAAAAAAAAAATAACTATTTGAGAAAATTAAATTATGGGTTCCACTTATTAAACCCCTATTTGACATTCTTTACTCTAATTTAATTTATTTCTCATACTCATTTTTAACCACACATTTACACAATAAAATATTTTACACGTAAATCCAAAAATTTTCTACTTTTAACCACACATTCTCTAAAAAATACTATTCAAAACAATGATTTTTAGATTTTAAGGATGTCAAATAGGGGCTAAGCCTCGTGCATCTCATTTTGTACCTCCAATTAAACTTATTTGCAAATGTCACACGTGTTGACAGATACTTACACGAAAGTGAGACCGATGTGAATAAAAAAAGACCAAAAAATTCCCGCCCCTTAAGGTGAGGGGTCCGTCAGGGATAACATAGCAGATTGTTGTACCTCAACGGCTCAACATATATTATCCAAGGCGTTAAACTTCACATCATCGAAGGGCCATATTGCTAGTTGTATTGAATTATTAGTGTGAATTAGTTAGTTCTCGTCCTTTTTCATTCATTTATAGAGTCAATGAAATCAGTAAATAAAAATACGGGAGATTATTAAAATAATATTTTTAGTAGATTTTTATAAAAATTGATGAAATGTACAATTGAAAAGCTGTAAATCTCATAATATGTGTGGTAAAAATTAATTGTTGACTTTGATTTAATATTTTAATTGAATTTTAATCCAAACCAAACAAGGCTTAATAAAAATATTGAATAATTACGTTATTACTTTAAGCCTCATTATGATAATTAATTAAGAGTTACTCTTAAGCACCTCATTAAATAAATCAAAAGGGGACTCAGATGTCATACTTTAATTCCCCAGGAGTAGAACTGTCTTTGCAGAATCTAAATATTCTGAAAATACGAAAATATCCTCACCGGACGGTATAAAATGCCTCATGACTGAGGTTTCTCTCCCTCAAAACTCAAAACCTTCAACAAAAAAACTCTTTGAAAACAAATAATGGCTGCCTCCGATGAGCTTGGAGCTCTCACCAGGGCTTTCTCAGGTTCTTTTCTCTATTTTAACTATTTCTTTTCGATTTTATTCAACGTAAGTTTGAAATTATACATATTGTAGAGTCGGATTGCGTGTATCAAATGAGAATTGATAATGATAATTAAGCATTGTCGATATTATATATAGGGTTTGGTGTTGATGAGAAGGCATTGATCTCAATACTGGGGAAATGGCATCAGGAGCAGAGACAAACTTTCAGAAAAGGCACTCGTGATTTTTTCACCGAAGATGAACGTCAATTTGAACGCTGGGATGATCGCCACGTCATTCAACTCCAACACGAGTTTTTACGATTCAAGGTACAACCACCAAAAGGATTTTTATTTACTCAACAAAGGCAGATTAAGGAAAAAATGACCGAGTGTTCACTTCGTTATAGATCAATTCTAGTGCTATTTTTGTCAATTATCGTTGAGATAAGAAGCCCAAAGAACACTTGGATTGATAGGGCCCAAAACAATGACAAATCCCATACCACAAATGTTTCTCATTGAACATGCATAACTCCAATTAGGTACAATACAATGAGATAAAGATTTGTTAATCCATTTTTCAGCATGCTATTGTGCTGTGGACTATGCATCCATGGGAAAGGGATGCTCGTTTGCTAAAGGAGGCTCTGCATAAGGGACCTCAACACAAAGTACTCGTTGAAGTTGCATGCACAAGATTGTCAGACGAGCTTTTGGGTGCAAGAAAAGCTTACCATTCCCTCTTTGACCACTCGATCGAGGAAGATGTTGCTTTTGGCATCCATGGCCCTGAACGGAAGGTGAGCACCAAAGTTCCCACACTTACCATCGAACCTTTGTCTGAAAATTAAAATGTTTAGAGAGAAGAAATGCTTATGTTTCTCACTACTTATATATGGCATTCTTTAATACTGTGTTGAATCAACTCATTAGAGAGCATATGTGCATAAAAAATCGTAATTTCTTCTCCTTTATGGCAGCTTTTGGTTGCACTTGTGAGTTCTTATCGGTATGAAGGTACAAAAGTTAATGAAGAAATTGCAAAATCGGAGGCCAAATTTCTTTCTAGTGCCATAAAAGGAGCTGCTGGTAACAAGAATCTTCTGGAAAATGAAGAGGTGGTGAGGATAGTTGCAACAAGAAGCAAGCCCCATCTCACTTCAGTTTACAACCATTACAAGGAAATCACTGGCCACTACTTGGATGAGGTAACAAAATAAAATTCAAAATTTTCTACTAACAATAAATTTCTACAAATTGGAATTTTAATCAACCCATAAGAAAAATAGGGGTATGTATTTGTATCCATGCTTCATTGTTGAATTTGCGCTACCAAATATTGATTTATTTTTATTTTAAAAACTTAGATTTATTTTTTTTTTCTTTCTATTTCAAAAGGATCTTGATGGTGAGCTATATTTGCAAGAGACAGTTCAATGCCTATGCAAACCTCAAAAATACTTTAGCAAGGTGACATTACTCAATAACCAAGCATTTCACTCTTCATTATAATCATCTACTTTTTTTTCTAACAATGTTGAAACATCCTTAATCTCAGGTTTTGGATGCGTCTATGGGACCTGATGTTGATGAACTTAAGAAAGAAGCTGTGACAAGAATAATTGTTACAAGAGCAGATGTGGATATGAAGCTGATTAAAGAAGAGTATAATCACAAATATGGGGTCTCTTTGCCCAACAAAATTGAAGATGTAGCCAATGGAAATTATAGGGATTTCCTGCTTACATTAGTTGCGAGAGGAGATTAATTTGACTTTTAATTTAAATTTGGCAAAATAAATAAATGTGTTTTTTTTTTGTCATTTGTTTTTCTTCATGCCCATGAGAACTGTGTTAAATTCTTTGTATGAACTTGTAATGTATGCAGTTGGGATTCTTTCCAACTTTTTATTGAGCTTCATCGACAACATGTTTGTTAAGATATTTTACAACGTTATCAAAATTTAGCTCTTGTTTGGTTTGGATTAAAATCCGATTAAAATCTTCAGTCAAAGTCGACAAATAATTTTAACTACACATTTCATAGGATTCACAACTTTTCAACCACACATTTCATTAGTTTTTATTAAAATATACTAAAAATCTGATTTTAATTCTACCAAACGGGGCCTTAATATGACATTGAACTTAATGGTATAATAACGTATTAGCAATAGGATGCAAAATTACTTTAAGATTTTTGTTATAATAAATCATATCAAGGTCTCTGAAAATGTCTATTTTGAATTATATAATCTTGTGATATTTCTTGTTAAAGTTTGTCATCGCATCGTTCAATAAAAAGTTTAAATTTGTCAAAAGATCGAGTGATTCTCATATAACTTGCTCAGTTGCTCTATAAGAAGTATTCAACCCTATTAATACTTTTTTTCAAGAAAGGGATGAGCAAAATATCGTATCAAGTGTACCAATTTTATACCAATATCAAGCGTTACCAATTTTATGCCAACTTCAAATTATATCTTGACATGAGTTAAATATGACTATGTCCAAGATTACATCTCGAGTTGAGAGAGAACCTGGCCTAATTTAAAAGCAACTAGAAAGTGGGTTCCTCGTTAGTAAGAACTACGTAATTTGCTACAATCGCGTATGACGTCGTCAGACGACCAAACAATATACTCTTATATTGTTTACTCGTATTCAGGAACGTGTAAGACTCCGTGGCCCAATGGATAAGGCGCTGGTCTACGGAACCAGAGATTCTGGGTTCGATCCCCAGCGGAGTCGTCAATTTTAATATTCTTTTTTACTGTTCAACCTTTCTTTTTTGGGCCCCCCTTTTGCTGGGCTCCAAATTGGTCGGTCAAATTTCCGCCCCCCCCAATTTTCTACAAACCAAACCAGAATATCCGAGCTCAGTTATTGGCGGGAAATTCTGCTAAAAGCCTAAAACACCCAATTTCCATTTTTCAGAATCTTCAATTCCTTAGGTCCTCTCTCTTTCTTACACTCTCTCACTCTCACTACACACACAAGCATAAGCATGCTGATTTTATTCATTACATAAATTTTTGAAAGAATATATAAGTCGAGAACACAAAATAATTATTCGTTTCCTCAATTCATTGCGATAGTCTTTGGATCAAATTTCTGACAGAAAAAGTAAAGGAAGGATGCCAAATATAAGAGTATGCGCATTATTCAGGCCGTTGAATGCAAAGGAAATTTCCGATCATGGTGATACTGTTTGCATTCGCGCTGTCGATTCTGATTCTTTCTTATTGAAGGTTGAAAATACATTTAATTTTTGGCTTATCTTGTTACGTGTATATGTATTTAGTTATAGGAGTATGATTTATCAGTTTTTGAATTTTCATTTCAGAAAATTAAATCTAGATATATGTTTGAATGCTGAATGTCATATGAATGCAAACGTACTTACTCTGACAAACAGCATGCAAGTGTGCTTTGTGCTAAATAAAAATTACATATAGAAAATATAAGTTTTTATTTGGATAATACATGTTTATGTGTCTGTGAATTTGGATAATATATTTGGTAGGATGACAAAGAAGAAGAGTTTGAGTTCCATTTCGATAGAGTGTTCTATCAAAGATCGGAGCAGGCTAAGATATATGAATTCCTTGCTCTGCCTGTTGTCAAAGGTAGTATTGAATTTTAATCTGTGCATTGTCTTTTCACAAACTAGAATATGGTTTGTTTTTCACTTCATTCCCCCCTTATAAATGTTGGATTGGACCATATAGGTGCTGTTGACGGTGTAAATGGGGCAATTGTTACATATGGTCAGGTATAGCTCCTGTTTTGTCTGGACACTTTTAACATTCATTTGACTGAATAAGCAGTGTGCATTTTTTTTCTTTTTTTAATGAAATAATAGATCAATGAATTATGGATTTGTGAGATTTTGCACTTAAACATGCAACTGATCCCCTATCCACGATGTCAAAATTTGAAGGCACTACACCAGGAAAACACTAAAATAGCGTCTCTTAGCATTTGCAATTTTTGCAGAACTACTAGTTGTGTTGGGTGATCACTTGTTCTCTTACAGAAGTATTCTCATACATTTTAACTATTAACATAAGATCCAGAATTTGTGAGGGTGCTGCTGGAAGCTTTAACAGTGGTTGATTTATTTGAGAAAAAACTCTTTTAGTACTGCGCCTTAGTCTCTGCTTGCTGCCCAACATTAGGCATTATTTGTACATTTACTGAAGCTATCTTACTTGTCTTTGAATAGAAATTCAGGTTACCAACATGCTCAGGTGTTAAGATTAAATGCACGTGCAGATCTATACTCTTGTTTACTATAATTGACTTGTCAAGGTTTTCCAGTTCATCTAGCTATTTTATTTAATTTTTTTCATTTTTTGATACTATTGTGTATATTTTACCAGACAGGAGCAGGGAAGACTTACAGCATGGAGGTACTGTGATGTTCATGAATATATATTTCCAGTATGCCTATAAAATGCTCATTCAGCCATCTCGGTTTAGGGACCAAGCATTATGGATTGTGATGAAAATAAGAAAGGGTTACTACCTAGAGTAGTAGATGACCTTTTCAGTGCTATTAGACTTTCAGA